TGTATTTCCAGTGGCAGTTGTGTGACACTCACATGAAACACATGCCCAGTGTCCACCCACCTATTGTCTCTACATTATGACCTCAACCCACCACAGTCGCTGTTTGTGTCAATGCACACAAATACTCTTAACCATCCGAACCCCAAAACCCAAAGGTGGGATTGAAAATAATGTTTTTTCTTTAAACAATGGCCAAATGTACAACTAATTTGTTTTTACTCTCTCCGCTGGGCCTTAAACTTGGTGAGCAACAATCGCTCCCGAATGAAAAAGCTAAAAAAACAAAGCTCAATTTTTGGATACTTCATCAAAAACATATTACATATTATACATATTCTACATGTCTCAATCAAAAAGCCATAAATAGGCTTTTTGCTTTAACCAGATCCTGGAAACAGCATTGAATTCTGCGCTAGTCAGTACAACTAGGGACAAAGATTCAGTGCAACTTAAGGTTGCTTCAGAATGGAGAGGACAGGAGAGGCCGGAGTAGAGCTTCAAAAATAATGTGTATGTACAGCAATGTACATAGAACAAGGAGGATAATGTTTCCCCACACTTGTCGACACAAAATATTGATGATGAAGATTGAATTGTTGACCAATGTTTGTAAAATGAATTATCCAAAAAAATGCAAATATTTTTTTTAATCTTCATTCTTTAACTGTGTTGTACTAGACATTATTGAGATGCAAGACTTATATGTTGCAGGTAAAAAGGAGGCTACAAAGAGTAATGACCGAGTGCTGCTTAGGGTTGAAAAGGGCAAATAATATCCCCATTTAAACTGCAATTTCTGATCCATCGTCCAACCAAATTTCCATTTAGAATCCATAATTTTGACTCAATACATGGTAGTTATGATTAGGACAGATGTTGGTTAAAGATTTACCCTCAACAAAAGTTTAAAATAAAACCATTATACTATTTTAGGGCGTTTTGTGCTCTAAGGATATCAAAGCAGCAGTTTATTTTTTCTGCTCCTACTAACTTTGTACATTAAGAACTATCAACTACGCTGTAGCTCTATGCTGCTTTTCATCCTATTTTAGCTCATTGTTTTGGTTTTCTCAACTCAGCCAGTTTCTAGCCGCTGCAGGAAGCTTTTTTCATGGATAAAGCTCTGATAATCCAACAGTTCACAACCTACTCTGCACAAAAACAGCAGAGAGATACAGTCAGAGCCCAGCTGTGGAACCAGCTGTGGAACCAGCTGTGGCGCATTTAGCAGCTAAAGAGACATTTTTTTCTCAGCAGGTGGTGGAGACCAAAAATTGAGCAACGCAAGCTTACGTTTTTTTTAATTTTATTTAAATTGGACAATTGTGGTGTTTATTTCTCTTTGATAAGGTCACTCATCAGGCTAGAGCAACTGGAGCTCCCCACTACAGCTGTGGCAAAATCTTTGTGTGATTAGACCAATAAAAAGGGGGCGGGCTTAACTGTAGCACCATAGTGAGCTACGGACGGCCCACACGCACCTCCTTCAAAGCCAAAACGTGCCAATGAATTGATGGCTTGATGTCATGATAATATTGGTTGGAGCCAGCTCACATAATCACACGTCATATTAGACTTTTACAGGAAGAAATGATTGAATTTTTATATAAAAATCCCCCAAAGATAGATAGTAAATATTCATCTGGATTTTAAGGAAACGGGTTTTATGAAACATAAAATCCTAAGCATCTATTCCCATTTTTCTCCGAATCCCTATTTTAAGTGCACTAAAGCTTGTCTTTACTTTGAGCATTCTAGCTTCTTATGGAATCCTTCAGTAGAGAGATTCAAAAGCAAACGATGTGATTTGCCTGCTAAATCAGTGACCAGTATCTTAAGAGGATGAAAGCATCCAAAAATAACTGTCAGCAAGCCAGAGGAGACCTCACAGCGCTGGCAGCGGGTCAACATACTGTCACAGATCTAACTGTCATATCTGGCTGTACCAGACAGAAACATGCAAGACCACGCTTGTTCTGCAGATAACAAACCGGTGAGCTCCTCTGTTGACTGCTGATGAAACATGTTTGCCTGCAGCAATGGGGTTTAGTTACCGATTTAATAACCAGAGAACATTTACCTTTGTGGACTGAGCTTGAATCCACGATGGGTTTTTTGTATGTTTGGTGGCAGCTCACACGGAACTAGGGAATCAATTTTTTGTAGTAGTGTAGGGTCCAAAATTGACTTTGTTTCGAATCAAGAGTTTTCTATCTTACTCGATAGAATTAACTAATTAAAAAAGCAATAACAAAGTGTGAATCTAACCAGAAAAACACATTTGTGTCAGAACCCAGAAGAACCTTTTACCTACATACAGCAGAAAAGAGGCAGTATTACAACATCCTGAGAAAAACAAGCTGCCATTCGCTGATGCAACTTCCTGCTGATCTCTGCACAACTAGCTCTCTGTCCCAAATGCATTTGTTAATAACAGTGAAAAAGAGCAGCATTGAAATGATGAGTCTGTTTAAAAAAACTAGCTTCTTCATTATCATTACTGCCAACTAGAAACTAGAAACATATAAAATCCACTTGTTTTTTGACTGAGTTGATGCCCCACAATGCAATGCACGAAGAGACACATAGGAGCTACTTGCGTAAGCTGCAGTTGGTAGAGAAGCGTAAATAAACAAATAAAAATAAAAATAACCTTTTTCTAAACCTTGGGAGAACGCTTTGTTCCCCCTGAGTGGCATTCTCAAATGTCATTTTAGCAATAAACCACTCACACTAACTGTAAAAGCACCAACATTTACTACACACATATTAACACTGTGAACTATGTGCTCACCATGTACTCAGCTATTGGTTTGGAGAGGAAGACGTGAGATGGTAGCTCTGTTTGAAATGTCCAAAAGTAACATGAAAATGAATTGAACAAGGATTTCCTTCTTTTTGGGGGGGGGGGTCAACCAACAACCACATGTCGTACTTAATACTTCTTTAAGCAAACCAATACTAACCCCTAGCGGACCCGGGGATCAAACCGCCGATCCTACAATTGACAGACTGTATAAGAAATGGCAACAACGAACAAAAATAAATAAAATATATAGATGCAAGACTAAATGACAGCAGCCGGTCTTAAAGACCGATGTAAAGTCAGATGTGGATAAACTCTTTACAGTCATGTGCTTTTTTTGTTTTAAACAGCCATAAAAAGCGTGATGGTTGAGGAGTCAACTCTGAAGGAACATGGTATGGCCATATAATGAAAAAACACAAAAAACACAAAGCCACCTGTTATCCCCTCCATGCTCTTACCATATGGATGTCCACAATGCCATGCACATGCAGCGCCCAGAGACCTGAAGATACTGAAGCACATTTCTCAGTCTTCAAAATTGGTTGATAATAGTTACAGCTAAATTACTTAAAATATGTATGGACTATTATGAGTATCAGATGATATTAGCTTTATGAAGCATAAACATGTATGCTGACAATCATTTTCACTGCAGACATTCGTTGTTGGGGGTTAGCAATATTGTATACAGCTGTATGTTGTGTTTTCCAGATGAACTTCTCAAAGCTGTAATTAATACAATTAATAATGAGAAGGTCGTCGTGGCGCAGGGGTTAGAGAAGGTGTGCTGGGAAGCACAAGGTTGGTGGTTCAATTCCAGGCTGCCCCATGTTCCATGTCGAAGTGTCCCTGAGCAAGACACCTAACCCCTAATTGCTCCCCGGGCAAAAATGTGAAAAAGCCATGGGTTTAAAAGTGTAATGTAAGTCGCTTTGGATAAAAGCGTCTGCTAAATGACCTGTAATGTAATAATACAGGGAGTTAGTGAGATATTTTCTTATATGCATGAAGACATTTATCTGGTTTATAAAATGAAGCCACATGGGGGAAAAGTCCATTGCATTCCAAATGCGGAATCACCCGGTGCTTTTGTTTTGAAAACCCTGCATGCCATTAAACATTGGTATCTTCTGATTATCACAGCATCACACGCATCATCTCACCCGTGATACGGTGCGAGCCAGTCAGCTGACGATGAGACACAGGAAGGAGCAGCTGTACAACAAGGATGCTCATTTGTGTATCACAGCTTTTTAGCTACTAAATCTCCTTCGTTATAAAGCGCCACTGCTGGATCGTTACGACCATTAAGAGTGGGGCCTCCGCGCTGTATTTACCCCGTCAGTTCGCCCCAGCAGCATCCTCACCGCCCACTCGTGTGCACAAGAAGTGAACATCAGCGCATCACGTGGGACGCCTGAGCCCACAAATGTGCAAACACAAGTCAGCATTGTACAACAGTTTTACAGCCCCTTGGAAACAGACGGCATTGTGGGGGATCGGAGCAGGCGAAGCTTCTGAAGCACATGCTATTGTGGCTTGCTTGCAAAGAGCCATCTTGATTGTGAGCCGAATGTGCTAAGCGTTCATTCAAATTTGGGATGCTTGTGCACATAAAAGGGAAGCCTCAAAATAGCATGTGCAGTTCTAAATATGCTCTACACACTTCCTCCTGGTGTATGTGAAGCAGAACTAATCCATCACGAATTGAAACTAGCCAACAGCTGATTAGCAAACACTTCAAGTCCTACACACCTGCCGATACTCACCTCACTATTTGAAAAATGAATACTTCACATTGCTGGAAGGCAAAATGATGACTGAAAAAGACTCCCTTAAACTATCAACATTGTGGAGCAGCTGCCTGTTTCCCTCTCAAATGCATTAAGGAATGTGTCAGGAAGCCCCGCGAATCTACTGTATACAACTTTATATATTGAATTAAAAGCTGCTTTAAATAAATGCACAGCAAAACGAGCCGGGAAATCGTAGTAACATTTCCCAACATAAGTACGTTTGCCATTGCCAAGAAGTAAAACAATAATTACGGACCCTTTTGTATAATTTGGGCAGAGTTCTCTCAATAACCATGTGAGCGATATCCGACAACTCAGCCAAGTTTCCATATTGCTGTTGACGGTAAAAATCGCTAAACGGAAACATAACATACGTTTATCGTTACTTCACTCACCCAAGCTGTTAGTAGAGGAATCCATAGTAGGACGTGTAACTTATATGAACTTTACTCAGAGGTAAAGCTGCTGCACTGAGGTGTGTTTTCCATGCTTAGAGGAACTCAGAAGTCAAACTGCGGGACGTGTGTCGCACTGGCGGGTTTAACATCACGAATACCGGAAACGTGGGCAGTTTCCTGCAAATAAAGTGCTATTGTTTATTAAATAATTACAAAACAATATATAAAAATATTCACAAATCCCGCCGGTATTACGTTAGAATGTATCATTACTTAGTTTAAAGTCAATAAGATTACAAATGAAAATAACAAACCTTGCTAGCTAAGATACTGAAAGTGTGTACCGGAAGTTGCTTTCCTCATTGTGGCAAGCTTGATGCCAGACGAGGGACGGCACCGATCAAGAGACGCGTTATGAATGTAGTTAAAAGTTACATCGATGAATTACGTCCTTCGTTATCGGCTCCACTAACTGTGTGTAAGGAACTGAGTACCTGAAGAGCGCAACAAAATAAAACACATTGTCGGGCTCCACCTCAGCGGCTGTCAAATCTCAGCCCTCAGACTGTGTTGGTTTGGTGACAGTTCGCCACCACGCGGTGGAGTTGTGTAGTGAAACCCCCTGTTACGCGTTAGTACCGACTAATAGGATATGTTATTACCATGCGTTATGTTTTATTCAGAGTAGAATTCATTTGTTACGCCTTTATTAAAACGCATTTGGTTTTAAAACGCTACCAGGCATTTTGTCCCCATTTTCCTTAACAGCGAAGTTAAATTCCACTAAATATAATTTAAAGCAACTACCTTCATGACTGTCCATCTTAGGGGAATGTATACAATAATTATATATCATTAAAAGTGTGTATACCGTACAGACCCGCGCAGTCCATGTACAGAAGGGCTCGAGGAACAGTGGTCCACGCCAGTGTTGTTTTGGGGGAATGAAATGTGTGTGGGACCAGGAAGTTCTACCGGCTCTACATCATGGAGGTTAATCTCTGAAGGAGACTTCATTTATTCGTACGTCAGTCAGCAGAATTGGTGAGTGTTGAGAAAAAGATGAAGAGCTGTTCTAAATACTTTTGACACCATTCTTCATCCGTCATTTATTACAGAATGTCAGGCCTTAATGACCATTTGGCTGATAAACAATCACCCCCTCTTATATGTAACAGTTGTTACACAAACGTTTCCGCCTAATGTTTTGTTGACAAATATGTACGCAATCGAAGTTGACTGAAGACAGTTCATGAATAAAGCAGAGTCACTAAACACAAGGGCATTGATATAATCTCGGTAAAGATTAAGCCCAAAGCATGTGAGTTATATTGGATGTTGTCACTGTCAGTCAAAGGAGTTCCTCCATGTGAATGCTGTCCCTTCCGTGTGCGTGCTCCCTCAGTGCGTGCGTGCGTAGGATGGCGTTACCATGAAGAGTGCCCGCTGCCTGCTCCAGCTGCAGTGTCTCACACTGGTTGGCCAGTCCACCAGGTCTGCTGCCCAGTATGGAGCTCTGCTGCGGGCGGCTTCCTCCAGGCGGGCCCCCCCGCCCAGCAGCCCCCCGCACCAGGTAACCCCCCCCCCCTTCATACCCATCCCACTAAGCAGCACTGAATCGCAATGAATTGTCAGCCTTTCTTCTTCTTTGCCTTCTTGTAGGTGTTTCGGCATTTCCACAGCGGCCCGGCGCGGCCAAAGGAACAACCGATCCCCGCGGAGTTCGTCAACGGGGACGACAAGAAGAGGGACAGGTCCTTAGTTGCCCACGACGACCTGTTTGAGCGGGTGGCCAGAGAGGTGAAAACCAAGGCCACGTTCAACAAAGTGGTGGACGTCTTCATCAAGAACGACGTGAGACGGCGAGGTCACGTGGAGTTCATCTACGCTGCTTTGAAGAAGATGCCAGAGTTTGGTGTGGAGAGGGACCTGGTGGTCTACAACAGGCTGCTGGACGTCTTCCCCAAAGAGGTGTTTGTGCCCAGGAACTTCATCCAGCGGATGTTCAACCACTATCCCCGGCAGCAGGAGTGTGGGGTGCAGCTACTGGAGCAGATGGAGAACTACGGTGGGTGTTGTTCATCAGGAATAAGTCTGCCCATGGAATCCCTGGAATTTATTTGGAATAGGTTTTATTTTGCTCTAAATGTAATTTAAAATATTGTGTTTTCAGGCATCATGCCCAACATGGAGACCAAAGTCCTGCTTGTCCAGATCTTTGGAGAGAAAGGCCATCCTATGAGGAAGTTCCAGCGCATCATGTACTGGTTCCCCAAATTCAAGCATGTAAACCCCTTTCCTGTACCCAAGCATCTGCCTGAAGACCCGGTGGACCTGGCTCGCTTCAGCCTGACCCGCATCGCTAACGACCGTGACGCTAAAGTCACCGTGCACCAGGTACACCCAGAGGCTTCGAATGAGGGAAACAGGCCAGTTTAAACTAAGCTAAGCTAAGCTAACAGGCTCCTAGATTTCTTCCCTACATAGGTGTTTGTGCCCAGGAACCAGGTCCACTGGTATCCTGTGCTAAAGTAGCTCATGTAGGTAAATGCAGTTTCTCATTGAGGATGTCTGTGTTCATTATAAAGAAAATGGCTTTTGAGGTTAACCCTCTATTTTTTGAACCACTAATGTACAGCCACCAGTAATTAAAACTATTTAATGGTGAACAAAAACTATAGCTGTCAAAACTTCATGGAAGCTTTAGTTTTTCAAATGTTTGTTCTTTTCTGGCTCAAAAACATCCAGCCTTAACGTATGCCCTTTTCATTTGAAATGTTCACTACTCCACCTTTAAACAAGGCAATTCAAAGCGCCTTATTTGGCTGTTCAGATTGAGGTCTGAATCCATAAATGCACCTAGACGTCTGGCTCGGTTTGTGGTTTTTAACAGCAGCGATTCAAGGAGCTGACTGAGCTTGT